AAAAGGCTACCAGTAGCTGCCAAAAGGCTACCAGTAGATACCAAAAGACTACCAGCAGATACCCAGAGGCTACGTGTAGATACTCAAAGGCTACCTTTATCTTCCAAAATGGTTACCTGTAGCTATGAAAGGGGTATCTGTATTTATTAAAAGCACACATAGTTATCAAAAGCTACCCTTAGTTACCAAAACACAACCTATAGTCACCAGAAGTTTACATGTAGCTGCCAACAACTCTTTTGTGTGTTGAGGAGCAAGAACCCTTTTTTCCTCTGAAATTTTTTTTAGCTACCAGAAGTCCCCTCCATATTCTCACCAGATTGACAGGCTTATAATGGTAACTAATGGAAAATTAATAGCAAACAGCCACAGAACTTATGGAAATTACTATGTAATGCAATATTTACTGCATTATAAATGTTAATAAAATAGGATTCATATATACCAGGATAAAATGTTTGAGACTGGGCTTATTTTAAGACAACAATCCACTTTGGTCATTTCTGTCAGGACTAGCAGCAGTCCTGTCAGAATTTTATTTTTCAGTTTATTTCTCTAAACTGAGGCTGTTCAGATCGATATTATTTTTTTTAAAGAAAGAACGACACTCACGATATTGCGTTTATTTACTGTCTGTGTAATGTTAATTGCCTTGGTTTTTGAATATAATCATTAGTGGCCAACAGTGGGTCTTCACAGTCTGATCCACAGCTGCCAGTGTAGAAGCTGCCAACTGCATGTCACATCTTCCTCTCTCTTCTCACCTCTCTTGTAATCAAAGCAGCAGGCAGCAGTTTTCTGCCACATCGCCAAGGTTAAACAGCCTTACAGAATCATGTCCGCAATCCCGTCTTTTTACACTTATCTTGACTATATTATTTTAGACCAGGAAGTACATTTCATATTAGAACAAAATCTAATTACCATCAGAGGACAAGAAGATATTATACATGATCTCATGTTAAACTGTCCTTCTTGACCTTAATACGTCACCATGCTCTGCTGCTACCTCTCTTATCCCTTCCTGAAGACTTTATTATCTTGCGGTCTTCCTTTAGAAATCCTTACGATCACCAGTTTGACTGAATAAGGCCGTTTATGTCTGAAAAACCAGTTTTAGTTAAGAGTGGATTGAGATGAGTTCCAGTACAGTCAGGTGTCGTCTTGTGAATAAATGCTTCCCATTTTATGTTGCAGTCTGACTCTCAGTGTCTCCTGCACTTTCTCTCAGCCTTCCGATTCTTATTTCCCTTGTGCGCACACTTTCATTTATGTTGTCACTCTCCCTTCCTTCACCAGCGGCCCTTCTTTCCAATCCTTTGCCTTTTCAGTACATCTGTCTCTTCGATTTGTTGGATTTGCTGTACTGCCCTTTCCCTCTTTTTCTCCATCATTGCGCCTCCACCATGTCTTCCTCGCTTGCCTTCCCTCATGGATCCACACTCATCGGTCCTCATCTTCCTTCATGACCTCCTTCTCTCTCTCAAGGAGTAATGTGTTTGCCAAGTGACTGAGAGACCATTAGAGAGTGTTCTGACTGCCAATGGAGACACTGGGAGCAGGATGCCCATGACAGAACAAATGCTGCTGTTCACATTTGTCAGGAGTGGGCGTTTGCGCTGGTTTTTATCATAAACGAGTCCTGAAACCAAACTGGACATGGATTTATGAGGACCTCTCTTACCAGTTAAGAACAAATTGTAGTCCTCATTGGTACAAATTGATTTTTGAGTGTCAAGACTTAAAGCGTCCCTGTGGGCAGTTAGAGACAGACATGTTGATTCATGTGGGCCCTGCGTTACACGTTTGTGTGTGAAGTCTTTGTAAGTGTGCTTACTCTTTTTATCACCTGCTGCCAATGGGGCAACAGTATTTTTACCACTCTCGGTGTGTTTGTGTTAATTTGGCGTTCTGTTAGTAAAATATCTCATGATATAGCAGACTGATATTAACAAAACTCTCCAGAAATAAACTAATGGATGAAGAACGCCAACTGATTAACTTTTGGAGTCAATCCCGTTCAAGATGGCCGCCACAGCTAATCAGCCTTACAAACACAAAATGGCTATAACTCAACCAATTTCACAGACATTGAGCTAAAACTTGGTGTGTTTGTAGCTGAGAGTCGTCCTCCACACATCCTCCGAGCACTATCACATCTTATAAGATCTTACAACACGTGATTGAGCATATCGATTCCTTCAAGGAATTAATTTATTTATCTCATTAAGTTATACTTGTGAGAGTGAGAGAAACTGTATTTACATGCCAAGACCTTATATGCATGGAAGTGTTGTAAATGCAAGACTGTTGTTCACTGAATTATTGATTAGAGGGAGGTTGAGGGTATACCTCACTCAGTATCACACAGAGGAGAGAATGAAAAGCCACCCTGGCAGCATCACGCTAAGTCCCCGTCGGCTGAGCTTACAAGCGCCACACTGTCTCAAACACAAAGTGCCCTTTATATATTCACTGTAGCTTGCTGTGTCTTTATCTTCTTTTCCAATATTAGTCAAACACATGCACTGAAAATGTGAGAGAAAGTCAGCAAGGAAAGAGATCTTAACTGGGATATGATTTCACGCAGTTTTAATGTCTTTAGCCTTGTGCTTTCTTTTTTGTTCAGTTTCAGCTAAACAAAACACTAAAAAGGGAAACTTGCTTTTCTGGTTGTGATTAGATCTCAGACTCTTCTCACATACAAACATGCACAACAGCTGAAGTTGCTAACTCAAACCTAGCTTTAGGGTTTAATCGATACGTGTGATGCAGTATGATGCCTTATTGATCCACTGTGGATCCCACAGATAAAAGGCATGCAGCGTAGTGAATACCTCTTGTTGGTAGACGTCGTTAAGTTAAGTGGCTGATTGTGAAATCCTTGTTTAAAGGAGATAACGCCATGTGTCTGTGTCTGTGTGCAGGCTAATGAGGGTAATCAGTGGCGATGGTATGACATGCCCAGTCTTTTGAGTGCATGTTCACCCACCTGTACACAATACTGGTTGTACTTCAGTACAACCAGTTTCCTGCAGAACCTCATGCGATAAGAGTGTGTACACATTTCTGTCAGCTCGTGTCTAACGTCGTCTGAACTTTTACTCTTCCCATTTGATGTAGAAAGCACTGAGCGCACCTGCTGGGATTAGATGTGAAGTGACAGCTGACTCAGGGAGGAGAGACATCCCCATCTTCCCTGTTTTGTGGTTGTAGCTTTTTTAAATGAACACCCATTCTTAAATAAAATATAAAACTTAAAAAAAAAACATAAAACTATTTAAAATTTTTGAAAAAAGTGTTGTCCCTGTGATGGACTTGCGACCCGTCCAGGGTGTACCCCGCCCCTCGCACAGTGATTGCTGGACATTGGCACCAGCGACCCCCGTGACCCAAAATGGAATAAACGGGTAAAGAAAATGGATGGATGGATGGAAAAAAGTGTTGTGTTACTCTCATTTGTGGCATAAATGAGTGTCATAGTAGCATTATTCTGGTTTCTGTAGAGTTGACACTGGTACAATCATAAGAATAGAACAATCCATCTACAAAGTAGTTATATTAATGCCAGCCACCAAAAGGCAAAGGTGG